AGGACACAAGCATTAAGGTCGTTGTTGACGGTGCATGCTCCGACTTGAAGATCGTAAATGCTGGTGTCCTGCAAGGCTATGTGCTATCACCCACAGTTTCTTTTGCCCATCATTGACCTGTTGCACACTAATAGCATCCATTGTTATGCAGGTGATAGTACGGGAGATACCCTTTACACCACCCGGAAAAACGTCATCGAGAGTCGAAACAAACTTGGGTCTGAAATTTCTTAGCGGAGGTTTCAGATTAGGGCCGAATGAATCTAGTCCTGTTCAACCCAAAAAATACACAGGTCTGTGCGTTCACCGCAAAGAAGATACCAATTGTCATATAATCTCGGTTTGAGAGCACCTCCCTAACTGCCTGATCTAGTATCGGAATCGTAGACATTGACATATCGAGCAAAGTCCAGTTTCAGGGCCACTTAGAGGGTAAGATCAAGTTGGCCTCAAAAAAGCCCCGTGTGCTGAACATATCAAAGCAGTATTTCACTCCGGCCCACCGCCTTCAGCTCTGTTAGAGCGCAAGTCCGGCCGCATATGGAATACTGTTCTCATCTCTATGAGGTCTATGAGGTCTATGGATGAGGTCTAGAGGGAGCAGATGGAACTGAGGTACCCACCTCAGTTCTATCTGCTCCCTCTAGACCTCATCCAACGAAGAGCGATTCGAATCGTCAATAGTCCAAATATCTCCGATCGGCTCGATGCCTTGGCATTGCGTAGAGATGTGGCTTCACTTTGCATTCTCTATCGCATATATCATGGAAAGTGCTCCGAGGAATCGTTCGAACTAATACTAGCCGCAACTTGCGATCGTTCATCATTTTCATCCCCATCACCTGGATAGTTGGCGCTCCACCACTGTGCGCTTTTCGAGACACTTTTTGCATTGCACAACCAATCTGTGGAACGTGTTATCGTCTGCGGTATTTCCGGACCGATACGACTTTCAAACCTTCAAGAAAAGAGCGCGTACTCCTTCCTAAAAGGCCAGTAACGCGTTTGTCATTCCTGACTTGCAGACGTTCATGGGTGGCGATGGTCACTTACCATCAGGTGACGTATGCCCCATCTATCATTAAGAAACCGGCAATATTGAGATTAGATATGATACAGGAGTAATTGCAAAAATAAACTGCACCTTTCCTATTTTATAATAAAGTTATCATATAAGATAGAAAAAATAAGTTTTTTAGTATGACTAACGTACGTGACCAACGTTTCATATATTTCTTATATTACAACGCTCTAAAACTTAATAACACTTTAAACGAAACGATGAGGGTCTGATGTATATTTCTCTTATTGGACGCAATTAGCAGTTAAATTATTAAGTGTCATAGAAATTAAGGGTTGTACTGGGATGGAGTTCAAAAACCCATCCACTACACGGCTGACTTGAAACCAGTTCTAACATAATTTTAGAGGAATATTAACAGGGATACTATTCACGTTTTGACTAATTCTGAACTGAATGCCTGAAGTTCTGCTTTCATGAAATCCTAAAACAAAAGAGAGAGAAGCAAAAATTAATGATATAAAATTGAGGTCGTCAGATGTAAGACATCGATATTATTTTTAGAAATAATGAGTATAAGAGGATAGCTTATAAAAGGAAGTAATAAAAATAGAACAATTAAAAATATAATATTTAAAACAGAGTCACTTGCGAATGGCGGCGAATCCCACACCGCATTACATGTTACATATACTATCACATAGCCACTAAACATATATATACCTACCACATTTTACACAACAGTAGGTCCGATCTTCTGGATTTGATGTCTGCAAAAGGAAAAACCTACGTACTTTTATAATACATTATCTTATTATTACTATTAAAATAATTTAAATATTTCTCTGACTATAACAGTCGAAGGCTTAAAATAGAGCCTAGAAAACATCCTAATTCATAGCACATGTAGGTAATTAATAAAGGTAAGAAAAAAAAACCGGCAATAATATTATAAAGTACTAATGACGCAATAAAAGCAACAACAATTAGTTCATAATTGACCTGTTAAAAGTATATTTGTGGAAGCTTACAAGAAGTTCCTGGAGAAATCCTTCAAAAACATGACCCTTTTGACGACTGGAAAAGTGACTTGCCTTAGAAGGATTAGGCCCTTAAATAAAAGCTCGTCAAAACTCATTATTAAAAGCCTCCTCCATGAGATTTTTTTCTTTTTTTTAAACGACACGTCAATTCAAATTTTAATAACTTTATTTATATACGTTGTAATATCATCAAACTTTAACCTGTTCTCCTTTAAATTTTACTAAAAAGAACAAAAAGATCACTTTCAGTGCAGTGATATTCTTCAGAAGTTAGGTTTTGTCCCTCTACAAACATGCATCTCCATCACACATTCGACATTGGCAGAATGGTCGACATCGGCACAGTTACCATATATAAAAAAACTTTATTTTATCCCTCATACATGTATGTATATGGGACATATGTGGGTCTTTCCTTTTGAAGATTTGCCGACAAAAGTTAAGAAAAGTCTAAGCATTGGTAAAAAAATGGTTGCTTCTTTTTTCGGCTAATTAGGACATTACACTACAGTATCGATTGAAGAGCAAAAGACAGTGACTGCAGATTGGTACGTCAACGCTTGCTTGCCCAGAGTCTTAGAAAAAGTTCTCGAAAAGCAATGTCCTCCTTCATCCTCACATTCCACTAAGGTAACAGAAGCCTATTTGAAGGCTTCAAAAGAGGAACTGATGACACATCCGCCTTACAGCCTGGTGCTCGCATCTTTTTGTTTCCCAAAATTAAAGAAAAATTTAGTGGCACACGTTTTATGAGCCGTAAATTTTCGGTGAATGCGTTCCATGAAGACATTGAAGAGGTACCTAAGGGAGACTGGTCCAACTGCTTTATATAGTGGTTTCAGCGAATATACTTAGAAAAATAATAAATGTATCGTAATCGTATATCTAGTCTTGTTTATCAGAATCCAGAAACCTTCAGTATGCCCTAAGTACATACTCGTATACATATTACTTACAGTTACTGTTGACAGAACCAATTACCAACTACAGATGACAAAATTTGGTTGGCTAATACATTTAAATCCCGCATTCTATCAACTATATTTTATTTCTAAAAGAATTTTTTGCCTATTGCCATCAACCCAGAACTTTTTAAATTAAATATCAGAAATTTCGGAGTATATAGAAGGGAAAAGGTAGTTAAACAGGAAAGGTACAATTGAAAGGAAAAGAACATTAAAACCATAGGAAATGTAAACTATTTGGCATATCTGTAACTCGAAATAAGAATTGCCTGGTAGTTTCGGCTTCAGGTAACATTATCTAAAAAGTCCAGAATTAAATTTATCAGAATGTATTTTCATGTGTGATACGAATAAACGCAAAAGTGCTATGCGTGAGCGAATACCGAAGGTCGTCTAAGATAAAATTCAGTAGTCTGAATATACCAATTTCATTAAGTCTACCTCAGAGTGACTTTGTGGCAGGTCAAACAGTCCATAAAGAATATATTACTACAAATTAGATTCAACTTTCTTTTTGTAAATGTCAAAAGCTTCATAGTAAGAAAGCTTTGGAATTTGAGTGCTGCGAATAAAATGCTAAATAATTAACAACCAAAGATGTTCCTGGTAATCAAAATTAGACCATAAATATTAGGATACATTTTTAATGTTGTATGTTTGAATGTATCGTTGACCTATTACTAACTTAAATCAAGCTATTAACTTCCAGTGCAAGTGTAAATGGTTTTTAAATAAAATTGCCGTATTATGACAAGTTCCAATCAGTAGATGTATGTATGTAGATACCCATACGAAAATTTAGGCCACAAAAAATTAGGTATGGTTTTTAGGAATAATTCTTATCTTTTTAGATTTTACTTTCTTTTATAAATATATTACAAACAAAGTCTCTTTTGCAATTTTTATAATTTTCTACGCACGTAATATATTTAACTTACGTGCACATGTACAACTTTTAAACGCAAAAGGTACAAAAGATGGCTTAATTTCGGTAATTATTACAAAGTAACAGTAAAAGTAAAACAAAGTAAGAATAATAATAATAGAAACTTAAAAGTACTACACACTAAATTTACAGTTCTATATTAATAGAACTCTTAACGTATTTATATATAAAAGCGTAAACCCATGAGTTTCAATTTACTCATAGCAAATCATTATTGGATCAATTTTTTTTTAAAGAGGTAAATACAGGTTACGTAAACAAAATTCAGTTATGACCAGTGACACATACATACACATAGTGACACAATATAATGCTTATTGACACAAAACACTAAATCGATGTTATCACAACAATCGTAAGAACCATTGGCCCAGTTTTAGTGTGCCACTTTTAGTGTACATAACCTATTTCGTATTGTGAATAAATGCAGAAATTAAACATTTTCTATTCATATCAACAAAATTAAAAATAATCTAACATTGTCTCACAATTACACAGATTAGGATATTTTTAGTTGATAAATAATTAATAACCAAGTATATTCAAGTATGATTTAATAATTTAAGTATGATTTATTTGATTGGAGTAAAGAATAAGTCACTAATTTTTTTTGGAGATTTCATTGTTTCTGAAATGCTTTATGTTTCTTCAAGCTGTGTAAGGGCTGTTGATGATGATGATGACGTTAAGAAGATACAGTATACAGTGTTCCTTTTAGATCAAATTATAAAATTGGCCCACAATAGACTAAACGATAGCTCTTTGAGCTTACATCTGTAATATTAATATCCACGCGAACTTTTGTTCTGCTGTAACGGCCAGGTTTTACGTTTCAAAGGTAAAATATTAACTATCATGGTCAAGCCGTTGGTTTTACTCAGCTAGAGCGAAAATAATTTTACATTCAAGTAGCATATTCACATGTTAGCAAAGCTATAATATCTTTATTTATATTAAGTTTATTCAAATAAGAAATGTATAATATTTATACTTACTTATTGCTCATCCAATAATAGATTAGTGGATTAAACATAGAATTGGCCATTGCCAACCAATAGAAGAAGAGATATATGTGTTGAGCAAAAGGCGCCGATGCCAGCGACTGATAATGGTATGTCAACACGAAGTAGGCGTGATACGGCAGCCAGCACAAGGCGAATACCATAACCACTAGGACGAACATTCTCACCACCTGTAGAGAAAAAAAAAATCATTGAATATAAACTTTTATCTTACAATAAAGGACAGGCATGTTTTTAGGACATGTTGAATTAGAAACTATACAAACGAAACTTATCCTTTTTTTGTAATAAAGGCGACAAGCAAGCGCTCCTCTGCTGCAGGTGTTCATAGGCAAAATATATACAAAATATACAAAATATATACAAAATTATCATAATCATTTAAAAACCGCCAATCAGAAATGTTTTCCATTTTCCATTTTCTCCGATAAAGTCTAATCTACTTGCTTAATTAACTCCGGCAAATGACGTAGTTTTATTTGACAATTTTTATTACATTTAGGTGACCTGAAAACCTTATGATACCGTGCTACATACATGTCTACAGGTTTGACTAGGAAAGTGAGCCGCCACTGATAAGGTGCAAAGATAATTATGTAATGATTCCATTGAACAACTAAGGACTGTCAAACAATGCTGTCCAGTAAAGCGGAAGAAGACCAACGTGGCGATACAACGATTTTTCCAAACTAATAACAAAACATGGTTGTGGTTGATGACCTGGGATGGTTCATGTCGTTATTTAGAACTGCTATGTGTTAAAAGTGGTGGTGATTGTTATTTATATCTCATTTTGTTGGTAATTTTATTGCTTATGCCCGGCAAGTACATGTAAAGACGAATGATGCACTTATGGGTCAACTTATGTTCCTATGGCATATTGTACGATATTATCTACGCCAAGGTGATCAAAAAATATCATGCCAGTCTACATCAGTGGATTCAGACCTGTCTATAGGAAGATAATAGGTATTTTCTAAAATTCCTACTAAAATTAAAAAATATCTATCTATCGCTGTGTTCTTTATCATTCAAGAACTGCAGACTGCCTAAAAAACTTAATACATAGACTGGACAGTAATTTATTAAATTAACCGTCTAATTCCGTTTGATTTGACTTAGGTTAAATCAGGTGACCCGTCTGCTCGTTTGCCCCCCATAGGTACCATTAGCGATTTCTCTTAACGTATGAATGACAATGTTAGTGTATGTATACGATCACTGACCCTTATTACCCATGAGATATAGAACGAGAGAGACTCACTTTGATCATAAAAGGTTTTCAGATCAACATTCAAATTAGGTTTGTTCCTCTGCGATTTGATAGATACTCAAAAACAAAACATACAGCAATAGCATCATTACAATAATGTTTTATCAAAAAAGGTATCTTGCCAAGAGTGACCGGTTATTATGTATGCTGTATTAAAATGAGCTCTAAGAGATCAGAACGGTCTGGTTATGTGAAGAATGGAACCATTAGAGTCTCTTTGTTTGCCTACAAAAGCTCATTTATTTTAATTGCTTTCGGCCCTCATTTATTTTTTCTTTCTTTCTGTACTTCTGTACTGCCTTCTAATTATTTTCCTTTCCTTTTAGTTTAAAAAAAAATCAACAAATAACGAAGATGTATATATTTCGCATTAAACCACTAACATGTATAAAATTTAAATACTTATTATACTAATTTATCGATTAGATCAACATTATAATAGAATAATTAGTAAAAAAGTTTATTCCAGTCGGTACCGAGCGCTTAATTAAAATAAAACTTTTTCTCTTGATTTTGCTTAATCAATTATCTCAATAGAATTCTCCAATATTATATTATGAGAAAGTCAAAAGAAAAGAAATAATTTAATCTCAACACAGAAACTTAGTTCAATACACTTTGAAAAAAAACGACAGCTTGAATAAAAGCATAACAGCAAAGAAATTATAGGTTCGATGAAAATTCGATTGTTACTAAATACTTTTAGTTATTTTTTACGTTACTGTCTAGTTTCATCCAGATAAGTAACATGTGGGTATACTGCAACTTTGCTCGCGTTAATATAGATCAAGACGCACGATAGTCTAAAAGTATTTTTTACATGCCAAAGGAAACTATCTTTAAATACTTTTTCTGGATGTAAGGTATACCCTATAAAAAGTATTTAAAGGTAGTTTCCTTTGGGATTTAGTATTTAAATATATAGTGTATACACTATATATTTAAATACTAAATCCCTTTTGTGGCCGTAATATATATCTATGCAATATTATGATAGAGTAGTAGAGGTATAAGAACAAGTATACAAATAAAATCATTACTCTTGTATTCTAATTAGAGGATTCGATCCCGGTCGATTTTTATAATACCGGGATTTCGGGATAATCTACAGTTAATCTCGGGATCCCGGGATAGTACCGGGATTGTATTGGCAATGGAAAGTGGTAACAAAAAGACAGTAAAACATATCAAAATATGTTTTATGTTTTATGAGGACATAGAATATTTAAGTTTTAAATCTCCAAAAAGGCGGTTAACCAAAATTATACTTTCTTCATATAAAATAAACAAACTATAAGTGCCTAGTTTGTTTTGTGTTGCGGTAAATAATTTATAAAACTAACAATAAACTTCAAAAAATCAACTTCTTTAGACTTATTTAGATAAACTATAAAAAAAACTATATACTTAAGAGTTTGTAGATACCTACTCATATTTTTTAATTAAATTGCCCAGAAACTTTATAAATTACACACTTTTACGCATAATCCAGAACCGGTCATTAGCAAAAACAAATGAAATCAGCTGTGTAGACAAGATGGCTGTCAAAACATCAAATCAAGGCAAGTGCGTTTCTTTTTACGCACATTTTTATTGACTTATGTAAAAAATGTATCAATCCCGAAAATCCCGGGATTCATTAAATTTGATCCCGAAAATTTCGAGACTAATATATGACCGGGATCCCGGGATCAAATACTCTAATTCTAATTAAAAAAAATTATTAATATTTTTTTACTACGCCGAGTGTTGTGGGTTTAAACCCCACATGGGACGACACTTTGTTTGATCCACAAATTGTTGTTCTGAGTCTGGGTGTTGTTTGTGTCCGTTTCATATATGTTTGTAAAGTCCCCCGCGACACAGGACATATGTTCCTAATGCGGGAGTTGTCTTTAAACAAAAAAAAAAATGAAAAGATAATAGGGTGATATGGTGAATGAAAACAGGTACGAAGAATAGCCGGGTATATTTCTGTGTTGGAAGGAGGACTTACACAAATCGTCGTCTACTATTTTCAAGCTGAGATGTAAAAAGTACAACAAGAAATAAATTGTTACGAGCGGGTATTTACAAACACACACTATTACAAACAAGAAATCACTATATATAACTTGTTAATCGCACTTGAAATTCGCTTCGATGTTAATGCGCTATGTCGTAAAACGATACTGTCCCGTACGGCCAACACGATCCGCTTTTATAGTGCTATCGAAATTACTAGACTAATCCCGAATATCCGATGGAATGTTCCAGACAGAACTATGTACAATAAGGCATCTACAAATTATCTTAATCTTCCGATATTCGACACTAGATGGCACTGCAAGCAAGTATCGGAATTAAGAACTATAATCTCAATGCGTAGCGTTGTGCCCCACTTGATACTAGATGGCACTGTCTCACAGAAACGACACAAAAACTACTCAATCATATGGCGCACCAATATAATACGTTCTTTACCCTTGTTTTTTTTTTGTGCGGAAATCCCCTCGGATACCACTTACCGGTGGCAATGTCAGACTCGAATCGACTAAGACCGCACGCCGTCTCAGGTACCAGTAGTCGGAACCAGGTGTACCCTAGAAAGGAAATCCCTGGTGCCCCGACGTACCTCGGGCCATCTACGGCGGGTAGACGACCCCCCTGTGTGGGAACCCCCATGTTCCCTCTGTGCTCCCAGAAGGGCGCGCGCGCTTCGCAACACGCTCCACGTCACCCCGACCTGCTTCTGCTAGGGTGACAGATGGCCTCACCTGTCACCCCCAGGCCTGCGCTTATGAAGGCCGGAGGTCGTTCTGCGACCTCCGGCGCCTGAGTCGTGTGCGTGCCCGTTCCCGACCCTTGCGGACCGGTAGAATTCAATTCAATTGACGCAGGTGATCCCAGCGATCACCTGCGTCAGTTGGTACAAGACGGTCCCGTGATGCCTCTCGAGCCAATCCTCCATAACGGGTCTTACCGCCGTGATAACGGCGTGCCCGATACATTTTACCCTACATCACGTGTTGGCACAATAATATTTGGGGTTAAAACATACGGAACAAGAACATATTCTTTTCTCACATCACATTGTAAAGGGATTTACATTTTTATTACAAAGTACAGGTACAGGTTTATAGAAGTTTGGATTCAAGTAACAACAAAGATAAAAATCACATTCAGGTAAAAATATCTTTCAAAGTACAATAATATTTGAGGTCATCAAGTAACGATAAAATAAACATTAATACATATGAACTGGGCCGTTTATCGTATTTCAACAATAATTTATTAAATTTGACTACTGTCAATATATAGAATAAGGTTAACGTGTATACTGGACCCATCTTACTTTTACAGCCGTATTTTTAGAATTACTTTTTTAATTTATAACATTGTTGCTCGTATTTATAACAAAAATAAATGAGCCCTTAGTTCCCAATTTGGTCCAGATGGACCCTCAGGGGACCACGGGAGACTCTGCGGGGGTTTACTTTGGTGTGACAAAAATTGGGGGTGCATAATTCGTAAGCGGGGGTCCACGAAAGTTTTTCTGCTTTCGATAGTGAAGACCTAAAATGTTGGCTTGACTTCATCTATCAATTTAGGAAGATAATATTTTAAAAGCTCAGCGACTGTTACTTGTAAAAACTTGCATATTCCTTATAAATCTTCACATTATTTGGCGAGTTTTGGGAATTTAGGAGAAATATAGCTGCAAGGGATCCACCGGAACCAGCTTAATTTTGAAAGTAGTCTATGAAAATAAATTTTTGGGCACCACTGGTTTAAACAGTGAGAAAATTAAAACTAATTTTTTTATTATCTTATACAAAAGGTTCTTAACTGTTAAACATTTGTTATTCATCCTGTCAAATTAAAGAATGAACGAGGGTTTAGAATCGACAACATATAGCCACAATGATAAGGTCATTATAAGTTGGGTTAAGATCTTATTATCATTATCTCGCTCATGTGTTCTTGATCCGTATGTTTTACCCCAGAGGTTATGAGTATATTATTGTAAATTGGTGTAGGGTAAAACATATAATATATTTTTTGTTGTACTATTTACATCTCAGCCTGAAAATAGCAGACGACGATTTGTGTAAGGCCTCCGTAACATTCACAAATATACTCCCCTATTTTTCGTAACTTTTTCTTTCACCATAAATTTTCAGGAAAAACGTGAAATCGAATAGATTTACATAAATATAAGTCAAATTTTCATAAATTTAAAACGGTGAACATTATATCGTCGAAATTTATACTTAAGTATTCGATAAGTAAATATTAAATTATTACGAGTGCCAAATTTATGCTGATTTTGCATTCAATTATGCGATCTGTCAGCCCAGTTTTAATGAATTGAATTTCACGTTTTTATGACAAATCAATATGCCTTACCTTTATCACCGACAGTCACTTCCTGACAACCACTTTTACAACGACTGACTTGTGTCACTCACATTACATCTTTAGAAAAGGGACCTATGCGAAGAACAGTGGCTTAAATTTTATAAACACAAATCACAATAATATTAAAATGTATTTGTTATCAACACTTTAATAAATTTTGATTTGTATTATAAAAGTGTTTTCGAGTTGCAAGGTATATCAGTGTGTTAAAATAGGAAATTATGTCATGTTTTGGCTTGCCCCAAGGCAGTGTCCTATCGCCCTCTCTTTTCTTGGTATATGTAAGTAGTTTGTGCACTAAACTCCTACCAGGATGTAGCATTGTATCATACACTGATGACATCGCGCTGATAGTGCATGGTAGCACCTGGGAGGAGACCCATACATACACAGAGAATGCACTCAGGGAGGTAATGATTTGACTTAAGAATAATCTTCTAACAATAAATTTAAATAATACTAAATTTATTACATTCTATCATCGAATAAATGCCCAACCACTACTTCGCTTCAATATTAGGGCTCACACTGGTATTGGACAGGGTGACAAAGTTCATGCCGATATTTAGGAAGCTTAGGCAGTTGGCAGACATAAACACTTTGTTAATGATATATTTTGGTCTAGCACAGAGTATAATCCAGTACTGCATTATGACACGGGGTGGCGCCGGTACAACAACCCTACTTCGAGCGGCCCAAAGAGGTGTACTCAAGATTATACTTGGTAAGCCAAGAAGGTACAGTACTGACCTTCTATATAATAAATGCCCAGCCTGTAAAAAAACTCTTTGTAAAGGCGGTAATACTTCGTAAACATAAGTTCATCACCTTCAAGCCTATCTAAAAATAAAATTTACTCGGTAATAATAAAACATCTCTCGCACGGCGGCAGTACTATGTCCTTGACAATTTTCTGTACATGAACGTCTGCAATCAGGATAACAAACGCGCTGCCGGCCTTTTAGGAAGGAGTACGCTATTTTCTTGAAGGTCGTGTCGGTCCGGAAATACCGCAAACGATAACCAGTTTCACAGATTAGTTGTGCGAGGCAAAAATGCCGGCAAAAATTTTGCCGTGTGGAACGATGGCGGAAAGTTGCGGCCGGTATAAGTCTGAATAATTCCTCGGAGCACTCTCTATGATATATGCGATAGAGAATGCAGAGTGTATTCACATCTCCACGTAACGCCAAGGGATCGAGCCGATCGGAGATATTTGGGCTATCGACGATTTTAGTTACTTCTTACTTTTTTAGTCTTAATAAGATAATAATCATCATTAATGGCTGAAAGAGGAAAAATCAATTATAGTTTAAAATAATTTATTTTGTAGGTTTTTAATATATATATTTTTTTAAAGAAAACTCCCGCATTAGGAATATGTCCTGTTTTACGGGGGACTTTACAAACATAAATGAAACGGACTCAAAGAACACCCAGACTCAGAACAACAATTTGTGGATCACACAAAGTGTCGTCCCATGTAGGGATCGGACCCACATTCAGCGTAGTAGTAGGCGGTGTGGCGACCGCTTAAACCACTAAGTCATCCGTGCAGTAACTTATTAATATACAGTAGAATTTGTCGAGTGTCTGTGTGGAGACGGATTAAAAATACGGTGTTACCACCCCTAATGATCCCAAAGGGCGCAAAATAAGCAGGACAACTACAAAGAGAAGGAAAACTTAGAACAAACTAACCAAGCCGTCTGGCCAGCGTGGTTTAGTCGGACAAAACTTCCTTTCTAAGGACAGACCATGTCCAGCAGTGAACCACTAAAGGCTGTTGATGATAATGATTCTGAGAAGTTGTCGATTGAAAAAATATCAGTAGTAGTTTGTTTCTACTGCAATACACATCGATTTTTATTTATTTATTTATTGACTTTAGTTATGAAAACCAACAGCTAAAAAAATGAAATGGTCAGATTGATATACTACATCAAGCCAATTCCAATTTTCACGAATAGAATCATTATCAATAGAATCATTTAATAACAGAATATATATATATATATATATATATATATATAATGATAAAATTGAAAACTTTGGGTATCGCTGAAAACTTTGAAGTGCTTAAAGGTGTAAAGAGTCGTCAAAAGAATAAAATTTGGCCTACCAATGAGTAGTTCATTATGAACAAAATTGAAAATGGTCAAAGAAAGAATCTAAACTTTTACAAGTCAAATATTTCCTTAAGAGTTGCCTAGTTCAGCTTACAGAGGTTCTACTGTTCAAAGCTCTAATAAAGAACATATATTTTTACTTCATTATTAAATTGTATCTGAATACAATATATATGATAAAGCTAAGGTGATTTTATTAAAATTATTATACAACTATTAAAATTTTACAATAAACTATAAAAACTTACAATATGCTGAAATAATTAAACGTGAAAAATAAATTCTATTTTTATTACATAGTGTGAAGATTAAATCTCAAATAAATAAATCTGAAGATATCAAGTTAGTACATCGTGTCGTGTATAGCCGAGCGCATCACCCGCCCCGCGTCCCGCAAACCATCGGGAGGGCCAAGTTTACGGCGGTTTGTCCATACTCTCACTAAACGCTTTTAGTATTTCAGAGAGCGGCAATGTATTCGTGTAAACAAAATAAATTATGCTACCCTCGAGTTTGATACGTGTAGGGAATATTTGTTACAAGTGAAATATATTCAAATTGTTTCCAAAAGTTTCTGTCCATCATAATATGTGATGACCTCATTTTTAGATACCTAAGTAAAATTGACATAGGAATACAATTTCCAAAAAGGAATTTCTATGTAAACATTAATACTGTTGATAGACAAAAAATGGCTTTACCTACTTAAAGTATAAAACTTTGTGTGCCTATAGAATTACTGATTTGATTATCAAAATGTGAAAGCATGTGATTAATAAAATCAATATAAACTAAAGCTTTACAGAAGCATTTGTTTTTGTGTATTTGTCTATAGTATTTTATTTTAACGAATTTTTTACTAAGATTAATTAAGCGTTAGGTTAGAACTGTGACTCCGTTAGAAACGAGCTGCTTCCAAAGAAATAAGACATGTTAGGCTAGCTATTATATTGTGTTTGATTGATGAACGGGCCCTTGGACCATAGCTATCTCAGGCATATCTTAGCATATTAGGACTAACGTTATTCCTCATTTATATTAATGACCTATGTAGCCTAAAACTACAAAATGGTGCTATACTATCATACGCGGACGATACAGTAATATTATTCTCAGCTTAGTCACGAGTTTTTTGTTGACGGGGTGGAAAACCCCTTCGGAGCTCTGGCTGCAGGAGCCAGGAGTATTTGGTGTTTCCACTAAAAACCACCCCGACTGGCAGTCTGAGGCGCCCTGCTCTGGGGCGGACATGGACCATGTTCTTTCAGGTCCCCCCCGGATCTACGCTGCGCCTAATCATGCCCTATCACCTACCGCAGCACTTAATCGGCCACCAGAGGTCCCCACTATCTGGCAGCCTGCGGCCCAATCGACGGCTGATAACGCCGTCGACGGCCCTCTCCCGATCCCGTTTAGCGGTCTCTTTCTGGAGCATTATAGCTTCACAGAAAGAGCCTACTGCGGCCTAGCCCTCCTCAATCACCATTTAAGTTCCCTACTCATCAACTCTATCTGGAATGCAAAGTATTAACAATTGGACAGTTATTTATAGTGAACATCATACTAAAACAACACACGGAACTACCATTTAATCCTATGATCTCAAATAAGAGGAGTAACGACATTGTATTTGTCAAACCCCAGACAACGTATATGTATGTACGTAAGCAAATTTTATCCTTTCTGAGCACCCTATCTATATAATAAGATAAACAAAGTATTGAAAACATATGCCGTATCGTATACAAAGTGTCAAACTCTAGTAGGAGAATAATAAGCTTAATTACGCAAACACAGAAAACATCTTAGCAAATTTTAAATGATATAATTTTAACTATAATTAGGTTATTAAACAATAAGTAATATATATTTGTGTATACAAAACTGTCTCAAGTAATTTACAATATTAATCTAATAGAACTTTGACATGTAGCTAACATGATAGTCAAGCGACTGCCTGTAACACTGGTCTCATACCTAACTCAGGCCGTTTGCAAAAGAATTTGTAATATTTTGATTTTACCTTTTTTCTATTCACTCTTGCACGTTTTAGGATAACCACATACTAGTTTTATGTTAGCGTTAGTAACAAACTTTATATAAGAATCCAATGACAATAAGATGTAATTCATATACAAAATGTAACCTAGACCTTATTCTGATTCTGCAAATACATTTTATTTTATTTATTTTTTATTTATCTTCAATGCCCTTATACTATTCATGGATTACAATTAGCTTAGGGTCTGATTACGTGATTACTTCAATTTATTGACAGAGGAAAACATTCTTGCTGGAATATTGACATTATTGACGGACCTGTTGGTCGAGTGGTTAGTGACCCTGACTGCTAAATCGGAGGTCGTGGGTTCGATTCCCACCCAATACAAATATTGTGTGATGAGCACGGTCATTTGTTCTGTGTCTGGGTTTAATTTATCTATAATATGTATCAGTCTGGTTACCATAGCACAAGCAAACAGGGATCAGACGGCCGTGTGTAAGATGTGTGAGATATGAAAAAAAAATATATATAATATGTATATAACAGGATAGGTTGCCAAGCAGATCCATTCGTTGTTTTGCTTTTGAGAAATTATTGTTAAAAGTTATTTAATTTCATTTACTTCTACCAAGAAAGAAATTATTTTATTTTTTTAAACGGTGTAAAAAATTTGGTAATCTAAGAAATTTAAATAAAAAAGTAATTAATCATAAATTAAATATATCCAATGGTTGCTTTCTACAAATGTTTTCTACCCAATGAATACAACCACGATATATTTGAAAAGACAATTAGGTTTAGGTTTAAAGAATATATTCTCAAAAAGACAAAGAAAGAAAGCCACTTACACTAGAATATAAAATAACATATTGTAACATTATTATTCAAATGGTCACCGAAACAGTGTCATTTATTGCTTAAAATGTATGTTATAGAAACACGTTCAGCGATTCTATTCTCAGCCAATTCTGTTCTCTCATAATGGGTTAAACTAACAATTGAAAGTAATTTTCTAATATATGAATTGACAGATCAGATTTACGCTAACGAACGCTATACGAGTTTTAAATTTAAAATTTCAGACGACAAATTATTATAAAGTTGTACTTCTCCTTAGGTTATGTTTTTCTTTGCGTAGTTTGTACGTGTTTTTGGTACTTAAACGATGACGACTACGCTTACTGACTAGAGGTATTTTGTATTTCCATGTTAGATAGTTATCCATTCTTCATCATCGTTTAGTAGTCCACTGCTAGGTTTTGGCCTACTGTATCCATGCTTAGACCAAGGTATTTCTCATAATCTTTTTGGTAAGTTTTTGTTTTGTTATGGGTCATGTGACGGATATTTTCTATTTTTGGGTTTCAAAATAATATATCCAGTTTTAGCAATATTAACGGTTAACAAATTATTTAAAAAATATTCAAATCATTTTGGCCTAGTGAAATAATTTCAAGTATGTTAGTTCCGAAATAAAATAGGCAAGTATCGTCAGCATACAAAGTTAAATGACCATGTGGCCCGGCCGTAGTTCTGTGATACTATTAATAGGTACGGGTACAGGTAAAGCACTACTTACAAGGTTATCTATTTTCACTACCTGGGATCTATTTAAAAATTATATTTAAACATTTTCAGTGCATTTTCTTTGATACTAACATTTTCAAGCTTTTCTAACAGCTTTTTGTGACTTACGGCATCGAAAGCCTTTTTTAAGTCAATAAATATACGAAAAGCAAGGTTTTTGTTGTCTATATTATCTCAAATTTTTGTCACTAAGTCAACAGTTGCTTTAATAATGCTGTTTTTAGCTTGAAACCCATATTGACGTTCAGATAAAAAATTAAAGGTTAAAAAACAACTATGTACATTTTTTCGAAGATTTTTGACATAATAGGCAGAATAGAGATCGGACGATAATTACCGGAGTCTGTTTTAGGTCCTGATTTATAAATTGGTTTCACTTTTGCAACCTATAAAGTGTCTTTAAATTCTCCTTCAATCATTTTAACCGAGTTAACGTAATGTACATACAAATATTGACGTCGTTATTCTTAGAATAGTATGTCATTATGTTAAATGCATACTTAGAAGTTGATGACACACGCGAAAGTTTTAAATTTTACCACATATGATAATTAAGTATCATTTTTCGAACACGTACTCACATTTCAACAATTTCAATTTCAAAAGTGAACCTTATATCCTATCAAAAAGCATTTTAGATTATGTAGTAGTAAAAGTAAGTAAAGTAAAGTAGCTACAGAGTCTGAACATATAATATGTGATACCCATAACAACTGAATTCAATTGATACATTTTAAGAAATAAATAAATAGACATACCTTTCTTTTAGCTCTGACGATTTGCATTTGGTGATGTGTGCACTCGCCAATAGCTCGACCTCTGAGAGCTGCGCTCATTCTCGCATAAGCCCACACCATTACTGACATTGGTGCGACGTACGTCAACGCCAGGAACACCAAGTTGTAACTATTGAACAAAAATATCAAAACGTTTTTCTAAGACTGTAAAATAATATACATCTATAATTGTTAGGAAACAATACGATGAGGCGAAGTGTTTGCGCTAGTGACTCTGTAAAGTTGGTTTGTATTGTAATAATTAAATAGAGTTAGGTACTTTCAGGTTCTGATATTAACCTAAATTTTCTATTTTAAGTTGGATGCCCATTAGCTCAATAGCTCTAATGGATTACAGCATCCGGCTGTGATTCATAGGAGTAAAATAATAATAGTAAAATGTATCTATTGTAACCAACACCCTGGATTCGACATTGAATTTGAGTTTTCCTGTTTATCATTATAAATAGTTTAAGTAGCTAGTTTATTATTACAGTTAATTGAATTATTATTATTATAAATACGTACTAGTAACCATTAAAAATCTTAGTAAGTAAGTATTTTTTTCTCATATGTCCATTTAATGTGCATTATTTGTGTATTACACTGTTCATTAGGGTATCCCATAAAAATCTAAGTATTTTTATTCCAACCCATACCCACTAATAATATTTAAATGGTGTCCAAACACTTATAAATAAAATTTCATATGACAAGAACTAAAGCAACTCGCAACAAAGCAACTTGTGCCCACACAAAACTACCCCTAATGGAGAATTGTTGGTAGTTCTGTTCTATAACATTCGTGAAGGTAATTTAAGTGTCAATGGAAAGCGTGAATCTATTTGTGAGAGCATTCATAATTAGAAAAAGGCGGGTATACCGACTAAAGCTATACCTAACTAAATTAAAAAAACTAGCTTCCTAATGCTAAGTTTGGAGAGATTTACAAAAAAATTGGTTGCCTGTAAAGTCGGTATACGGGCGAAAGTTTTACGTGACAACGACTATGTCTGTCTCTCTCGCTCTTAGGCGGGCTAACCATGCCCGATTGGAAGGGACGCGTGCCTCTCACTCGCTCTCATTGTGAGCGCATAACGTGAGCGGAGCGTAACGCAGTTTCTTGAAGTGTCACCCGGCAAACCAATTTATAAGACGTTGTCACGTCAAAATACGAACAAAACACATGACATATTCGAGTAGCGTCGACAAGTGTTTGTTACAAACTTTGACAATTTGATCGATATTTATGCACATACCGATGCACTTCAACTAATAATGATAATTAAAGGAAGAATTTTCTTGCAGCGCCAGAGAGAGCCAGGCAGACCTGGTTACTTAGCTGGAATAAAAAAAAATAGAACGACGAAGAGGAAATCGTACGCTTTTTATTACGCACGCTTACTACGTCATCCTAGTAAGGCAATTTATTTTCTGTTTCTGAAGTAATGGATTAGTGATAGATGAGTCCTATATTAATAACACTACAATGAAAAAGTTTTTAAACACCAAAGTTGAAAGCAGATTTAGATATGTTAGTCAAGTATCAACACAGACTGTGTATTGAGGGACTTACCATAAGCAAGAGCTCATTCAAAGAATTCGTAAGGAAAAACATCGTTTTTTAAATAATGTTGACCGAGACACGAGAACACAAATAGTTTATAAGTTTTTAAGGGAAACTACACAATATACACTAAGCAGCATCCCCTTCGAAGAAGATCTTTCTGGTTCACTTTACGAGTCATCGATGCCTTCGATTTTATAAAAAGCAAGTCCAATAGTTGTTCAATAATTTCCAAATTGATGACAGTTTTCTAAAGAGTCCAAGTCGAGTTTATTTTATTTTTTATTTTTATTTAACCATTTAAAATCACTGTTGAAGAGGTACAAAAGCGATATTTCATTTACTACGTGGCGTACAAGAACATAAACTTGTATACCCTGACTGTAAAAAGTTTAATAAATAACGTTCTTTTAATAATAAACATTAAATACATGCATGATACAAATATTAAATAAATTAATGATGTATGATATGTTTATTTACTGAATAAAAATTATATTACGAAATGTCCTGAACAGTCTTCATAAAAACATTTTCATAAAAGTTTGACTTCAAGTCGGCACGGGTTATCGTTATCCGATATCAATAATACTTTTTGTTTTAGTTAAGGTCAATTAGAAAAATATAAAGGGTATGCGTACTTAAAATCGAAAATAAATAAATTTGTCCTTATAGGCTGGGACACCCTACTGTTCATTTGTGACTAATTGTGTATTTCTCTCCTATGAAAAGCAAGAAATATTTAAATACTTATGGAGACCGTAGGAATCGGTTATATTATCACAATAAAATAAGGGCTTAATTCCACCTATATTTGACATTAATGGACTAGTCTAAAGTCGATTAAAACTTTGAGATTTCAATAACAACTTTGTCAATTCAGATCTTAATGTAGTAACTAAGTTTGAATCAATAAATTAACGTAGTAAATACCGAGTCGGTAGTGTATTAACATCTTTTTAATCTTAAGTTCTACCATAAAATCACTACTATTACACTACTGTAATTGTTAAGGGGACCGGCACTGTATCCTTATCACAGGCTAATCTGTAGCCTATTTAGGTGGACAGTACTACAACCATTATAATTGGATTTAGTATGTATCCTATACTTGTAAAACCTACAATCATATTTGTGGAAAATAAAGATCATTATTATTATTTCCCAGATAGATACAAGCTAGTTTATTTTATAAAAAGCATTTAATTTACAAAATAATTGTTTTTGTTTTCAAACGCACGCATCACAAAACCCCTCATTGCCATCAACAACAAAGGCCGTATCACCTGGCAACGTTGAAATACGAATCACAAGGATAATTTGTACAATGAATTAATTTTGATTCAAATGATTTTTAAATTACAGTTATTATTATTTTCCAACTACGCATTTTTAAAAAGACAGTATACCTACGTAATTTCTTCACTTAAAGTGAGTTTCCTTTAAATATAAAAATTAACATAAAATATATATTAGTTTATGGATTTTAAATAGCGATGAGATAAAGTGTTGCAAAATTTTAACGGCTCCTTCAGCGAAAACATTTAAATATATAATCTAACTTATACAACGCACGACACCTGCGTATTGACAAAAAGATTGAATGCATAGGCGTGGGCGTAATGGTTTAAGTGGCCCCTGGCCAATCGTTTCAAATATTTTGAATGCGATCACCGCCAGAGAAATTGCTTGTATGATTTAGAGTTCTTTGCCCAAGTCTAAAGCCACTTTGGGGCCCTTAATAAATATTGTGTGTCGGTTTGTAAGGTTTTCTCGAAACAGAAAAGAAAGGGCTTTGGTAGTGAATATTGTTTTTTGAAACAAAAGAAATTAGACATGTTCATGTAGTTTTGAAAATACAAATACTTTGCGATTATTTTTACAATTGCTTTAATAGTCTTGACTAGTCATCCGAATAGTTGTAGGAACAGACAGACTGAAGACTAAAAAGACTGCAGAAGACTGAAAAGATAGGATGCGGACTGCTCAAGACCTGGATAGTTAACGCCTTCGTTCGGCAGTGAACGGCGATAGGCTGATGACGATGAAATGTATTCATTCATTTTCAGCTTTCGGTGTTAAATATTTTTTCAAATTTGAATACGACCAAACGGGAAGCATACTTTTTCAAATCAAAAAGGAATTTTGCAAGGAAGAAAATCATCAATCACGGTCTTATGCATTATCAAGAAAATTTGTTTGTTCATAAATACAATGCCGCTTTATTTTCATAGTATATAGTCCGATACCACAAATGTCCAATTTTTATGATTCTAGGTCAATACTAGAAGTACCCAATAGTTTTAGATATGACTGTAGTGTTGCAATTCGTTAAAATGTGAGCCTTAGCTGTATTTTTTTATTCGCGTAGACTTAAAAGTCTATTAATATAGACTTAATTCAGACTGTAATTCATGGTTACAGCTTTAAAGGGTTGTAGTCAAGTATTTGATGTTAATTTTAACTTGATTCGTCTAAACATTTCTGCGAAAAAGGTCTTGATAGACAGCCAGTTGGAAACAAAGGAATCGTATAACGGTTATTTTTCATTTTTTTAAGGAACAGGACCCTGTAAGTTCTTATTTCGTCTCTGATCAGTTACTTTGAGGTGTAATAAAAAAATACACGTAAAATTATGAGAAGATTAACATTTGAAATTGCGAAACCCACAACCCTAGCTCCATACTTTAGGATTAGGGTGACATTTAGATTTGGTAATAATACTCCGTGTCTAAGAGCTCGGGCATAAAAATAATATAAGGTCACTTTATATAAAGAAAAAGTCCTCTATAGAAATGTCTAAAGCTTGTTTAAAATGTTTTCTTCAAAGGTGTTTCGTGAATGAAAGAATCAGCAAAACGATATTATGATGAGTAATACACGGAATTAGATGTCTTTTGCTTATTATTTTTTATTTTTTTAATATATTCACATCAGAAACTAAAAAGTTAATTAAAAAAAAGAATTGCATAAATATTTATATTTTGTTTTACTATTCCTTCGAATCTGTTTTGTTTGTTGTTTATACTGTTGGACTTTTAAAAACAATGAAGCTTTAATATGGACGTATTAAATCGGTTGTAGACAGCAATTTTTTTTAACGTGATTAACATCCCCTATACTTTGATTGCCAACCACTTAATTTTCAAACGACACTTCTGAAACTTGATTTTTAATGATACATCTGAAATAATACTTACTAGTAATCTGGTTTAGATGAGGGGTAGCTGCTGCCGTCAGGCCATTTTATAAAACAAATTTCTCTTTCGCCATTTACATACCTGAAACAATACAGAAGCATTTATGCACACGCATATAAATTAAACAAGGAATGTGAAGGTGCAAAAAGTAAGCAAACAACAGCCTTTAGTAGTCCACTGCAGGACATAGGCCTTTCCTCAGAAAGGGGGTTTTGGCCTATTATACAACGCTGGCCAGACAGGCTGGTATAGGGTTTGTTTCACGCTTTACTTCTCTTTGCATTGGTGTGGTCCTGCAGAGTTTGCTCCCTTGGTCGGCTCTTGTGACACCCGCGGGATGAATAGATGTGGTGATGTGTCACCACGCTGTGGCGTTTTCTTAATCCGTCACGACACCGACAAAAGTAAAAGACTTTTATTTTGCATGTATAAATAAATCACTCAATTTAGGAAATAGATTATAATATGTTTGTAAACATCACCCGGTGATTTTATGTGAATCGCTGTAACACATAAATAACAAAAGTGTAATTCGCATACGTAGTATTCAGTGCGGTTTTATTGATGTGTTTATCTTATCGTCATCTTAAAAATGAGAATTATGAGAAACTAGATGACCCGGTGGATTTCGTATTACTTACATCTAATTATCCATATAATATATATATTATATTTATAACATTGTTTACAAAAGGAAGATTAGAATTTATTAGGAAGAAAGATTCGAACCATTGTAATTTTTATAATCAATACAATAAAGTCACTAGTTTGATTGCATTAAAAATAGAAATAACAACTGCGAAGTTTCAAAAATTATTTAAAAACAATGGTGTTAACAATGGTGATATCGAAATATCATTAATGTTTTCCTTTTTTAAACACTAAATAATAATATTTATATTTTTCCTCATCATCAATAGCCTTTAGTAGTCCACTACTGGACATAAGCCTCTTCTTAGAAAGGATGTTTGGGCCTACTCTACCACGCGAGCCAGTCGGGTTGGTATAGGGTTTGTGTCAAGTTTTCCTTCTCTCTGCAGTGCTGGTGTTCTGCGTAGTTTTTTTCCTTAGTCGGTTCGTACGACACCTACGGGATGAGTAGTGGTGGTGACACTCTGTATTCTTAATCCGTTACCACACGGACCCTAATGTTCCTACATTAGGGTCCGTGTTACCGTGTCCGTGTGTCCGTTATTATTCCTATAATAAAGGAAGATAATTAGGGAATCGAATTCAAAAACCTCAAATTATAAAGGATCTTAACAAAAGAAAGAATCTTTCCCCCGTAGAGGCCATTTAAAACAATGACAAAAAAGCATTCGCATTTACGTGTGTATTTAGAACAATGATTATTCTGTGGCACCTACCTACCAAACAACAGGACTGTGAGATAATTTGAATAGGTACTTATCTATCTCTGGGTTCAACAAGTATTTCTAGGCTTAAACCCGAATCGTCTGTATTGGTCACCTCAAATAATGTTTCATGATTTAATTAAAGAATAATTTATTGGTGATCCTAATAATATATAATACATATATGTCATTCTTATTTATTGTTATTCTTTATCTTGTAAAGATTTTGTGGGTACCTAACAAAACGAAAATAAAAAAAAATAAGTAGCTCACCACGTAAACACGTAATACATTTATTAGAACAATAAATTTCAACCTTTCGTAGGCAAGAAATCACCTAGTTTTTTATATAGCTACTTGCAATTTGAACTTTCGATATCGTTAGGAAGTGAAAAAAGCGTGAGGTTCGAATTTAAGCAGCCGAATACGATATTCTTTCCTTGTTTGTTGTTAAACACTATTTTTAATTATGTTTAGTGTGGCAAGCGACTAAAGAAAAACATGTGAGTATCGAACATCGTAATATACTTGGCTTTGTCTTAAAAGTTAATGCACAGTATTCAAAAACCTAACATTTCTCCAAATGAATTCTGTGTAGATATATTATTTATACTTTTTACGTTCTGTTCCATTGCGTATAAGACATTCAATCTAAATTCAGACTTTATTAAATGTCGAGTTTTGATCCAAAGGATTACATTTGACTTTACGCCAGACATATAGAAGTCATTCATATGATAATGTATTTATATGTAAGTTAGATTTATCTTAAATTAATACATTTTATATAAATAAAGTCAAATTCTCTGTTACCTATGTATCTGTCACCTACCGCATCATTTTTCTACTTCATCCGAAGGTCGACTGGCAGAGAATGCCCTTTGAATTGAGTCCGCTTGTGTACAACTTGTGCATTAAGTTATATAAATAATTTAGTGTCTTATCTAAACCTTCGTATATAAGATAATAGACATCCTGTGTTGGGGCAAATGTAAAACAGTCGGTTTCACAATATTTAAACTAAAAGGTAACCAGAATCCAGTGGTTATAGTCATAGCGGCAATAGTTTTATCTGTTAGATAACAAGTTTGACGACATTGGTAGACAGTGTTCATTTGCAAGGTATAAAAAGCTTTGACTGTCGTCACTTATTACAAAATCTATTTTGTTTTAAACTGGTCCTATACTGGGTTTCAATGATTTTATTTTTATCTAATTTTCTAAAAGATAAACTAAAACATGTTTTGCAGTTTATTTTTCACCTGATAAAAGAAACAATGGAATGACAATGGTCAGTGGTAGGTACATTAGTCTGCTTATGAAAACTTTGACGTGATATTTACTTCAACTTTTAACATACGTCATAATCATTAACTGCTGCTAGTCTCCAAAAAATAAAAAGTCGTTTCTAGGTCAATAAGTTGATTTAATAAATAAAATCTAAAATAATACATAAATTTTTAATACGTTTAAGTCATCTGGGAATTCAATTAATTTCAGAAGCTCAAATTATCTCAGTTACTTGTAATCAGTTAATGTAATAACTCAGTTAATGTAATTTGAGAAAATTTGTTTCTCATTTACGTCTCTTACTCTTATGTTATTCTGAATTTATTTAAAAAAAGGTTTTTTTTTTTTAATTTGACACTATTTAAACTATAGTCAATAGTAGCGCACAATAAAACAGTGTCGTGTTTACCAAAAATAGTAAGAGTATAACTACTTGTTTAAAAGGATGGAGTGTGATTGCTGACTTTGTTTGGCCGGTTTCTTCTAATAAGGCTTAGCTATTTGAGAGTGGGCGGTTATAGATCGATACCGGCTATGCGTAATCTTAAGAATTTCTGACAGGGTATATTATATTTCATGGTGGGAGGGAGCCACGAAAGAAGTGCTTAACACTGGTTTTCTGTGAGCCCGTAGCATTACTCCGCTCGAGCCCGCCCATTTGTGCCAAAGTATAGCTCACCCACGTACAATATTGCAATGCAGTGTATATTGCTGTAATAATAATAATTGTTTATTAGGTGGCAACCAGGCCCTATCTACAGCTTCAACAACAGTCCGATGTCTATGATGACCTCATAGACGAATGGCAACAACGCTGGGACGAATCATCCAAGAGGCGCCATCTTTACCAGTTCTTTTCATCTGTTCGCGAACGGTTGTTGAGGACATCTCTTGAGGTGGATCACTGTGTCGCTCAATTTCTTACGGGTCATGGTCAAGACTTTAAGAGCAAGCTGCATTCATTTAAATTAGTCGAGTCACCATTGTGTCCATGCTCAACACCTAACTCTCACTATGAACAGTCTGCTCATCATATCCTCTGGGAATATAGTCTTTGGTATAATTAACGTAATATAATGCTGAATAGCTTGCAGGTGACATCTGGGTCGGTATAATATGGGGATTTTGTGTCAACTAGGGTGAATTTCCGTGCGTAGCTCACCTAGGACCCGTAATATTTTGTGGCCGTGGTGCTTCCCTGTTTAAAAGGGTGTATGCCTATTTTACTTCATTTTGTCTCCCGCTTTGCTAAGGAGGGAAATGGATTTACTGTATTTCCAACTCCTCCAATTTTCTTCTGATTAATTTCGTTGCGGGTTCCAAGACAGTTTATTCTTCCTGGGACTTCCCGAGTGTCATAACTCGGTGTGTTCGTGGGTCACTGCTGTGGATCCTGGTGTATAGGAGTTACAGTGGTGGGCGTGTGGGTGGACTAGTCCCATTTAAAAAAAAAGTCTGTCTAAACGCTAATAGTAATCTTCATGCATTCACGCCTATAAAATTACATTTTATATTTCAAGACGCAGTCACTTCTTTGTAGCCTTATAATTTTTCATATTTAACGTAGGTAGTAGGTAGAATGTAGGGTTACGACATAAGTCGTAAAGAAAGTCTACAAAATGAATTAACGTAAGCGTGCCTGCTATACCTCACTGAACTATGTACTTATAAAGGTGACTCTCGGATGATGATATGTTTTTTGCCAAGGAGTGGAATCTTCTTGTATAAAAAGGTAATGTATTTAATGACTATTGGAGTGCCTAAATGGATGATCAGCTTTAGCAGTGGCAATATTTATCAGAAGTATATATTTTACACCACTGCGGTAAGCTACTTTCAAATAGAATTAGGTTCCATATTGGATCCTCTCATAGTATCTAAATAGGTTAAAAGAAAAATAATAATTAGTCGTGTACAAAATACATACTTCATTTAGTAAACTCATTGACGTAACATTGCTTCTAGTTGGGTAGTTGGTTTGTGTACGCTTTAAAAACTTATAAAAATTCCGCATTGACTGAGCTCAAATTTGCTATGATATGCAACCCGCTTTAAAGATTGCTTTTATCTATTTTTCGCCTTAGTTGGCTTTCTCATTTTTATCAATGCAAGTAAAAGCATGCAAGCATGACAGGGTACAGCTAGTCTAATATAAATTTCAATCTAATCCTCGTAATGATATCCTTAGTAATCATATTTGATTGTAATATTATAATTAAAATGGAGATAATCCTGTAAAACTATTTTTATTTCGCTTACAATAACAATAATCTCTAAAAATACATTGAAAAAACAGCGTATTGGTATAAGTCTTCATCTCTCTTATAATAAATACAAGAAATCGTAATAAAAACAACAAATGAGACTGTCTCCCTAAGGAGAATTATAAGGCTATTTCGGCCTCTTTTTTATGTAGATTAACTACCAATAAAATTGAAAGTAATTAATGTAAAGTTGGTGGGTTTTAACAGTTTTTATATATAAGTTCCAGTAAAAGGCCATTAAAGCAACTAGGTCTGCAAAAAAACTATTATAATTCTATACATTAAAAATTCAACTGCAAATCAATGCAAAAAGGCGTATTCATGGTTTTGGTGCGTATTCGTAAATTGTGGTTTCTCTGATATAAGTGGCCGTTATTATCTGTAATTTAGGTAAGTACTGATAGTTACATAATGTAAATAATAGTTTTGTGAATTCTTAAAATGTATCTAATACTGTCCTACCAGGAAAATTTGATAGGTACGAATATATAGTTTTTTATTAGTTTCTATAGTGTTCATTGTTAGGATTAGAGTTAAACTACATAAATAACTGCACAACTGTATAAATAAAAGTTAGTTGAAATAGCGTGGAGAAGTTCAGGTGTACTTCAGTTTATACTGAAGAACATTGGAATAATATTTTATAACCACTTTACCTTTAACACCAACCTTTAAACTTTAGAATAATAAACACAAACCCGTTTAAAATCCTATTTACTTAATACTATTGATAAAACATAAATAGGTTTTTTTACGAACAAAACGCTCATTATTATTTGAGGCACTTAGTAACATTGTGATCGAGATTGAGCAAAAAGAAAGTACATTGAAATATTAAGTAAGCTTTATATTGGCTTTTTGACTAGCTGTGTGATGGTTCGGTTTATGAAGACATCGAGTGAGATTAGTCAAATCGCTATATCTACACATAGCTATAACATACATTTTTTTTAGTTGACGAGGTGGAAAATCGTTTCGGATCCACGGTGATTCCACTAAAAACCACCCCGACGGCCGGCTTCAGGAGGACCAGGCCCCAGAGCATTCAATTTATGTAATACGTACTATCTATATTACATTATTGTTTCATACATACACAGTACATACTTACTGTTTCTTATATGTGTTGGAGTAGAGTAGACTGGGTAGAGCGAGTAATGTACCAGCACACCATACGGTGAAAAGCGCACCACGAGCTACACGCCGACTCAGTCTGTGTTGTAGCGGCTTGACTATCGCCACATACCTGCAGACAATTCTATTTTATCATTTGCGTAAACCCAGACACGTATTTTTTATTTAGTGCTACGGGCACAGAAAAAATATTTACATCTAGATTTTTTATTACAAAAATAATCTCTGAAATGAAATAAAACGAAATGGAATGAAACGATACGAAACTAAACGAAACAAAATAAAGCAAAACGAAATAAAATGATATTTCGCTTATACTTGAACGTTGACTGGCGATCCAAGCGACGCGCTAGGGCAAATATGCCACTATTTGCCTAATAAAAACAACTAGAAATCTTTTACTATCCTATGAAAAACTGCACATTTCATGTAAAGGAATTTAGAGACTTAAACATACTTTAACTATAATTTGATGTACATTAATGGTTATGGTAACCATAACTAATATCATAACCTTACATTTTCAATAAAAAAATTAGTTTTAGTATAGAAAATAGTGACACATCGAAATAAATGTGTATTGTATCGAAATAAATATATATATGAGGGTGGAGTAACAATTTAAACAATTTACATTTGTACAACAATTTATATTTTTATAGATTTCAGGTTATCTACCTGAATACAAAATATTTTCATATGTAACAAAACAAAAGCATAATAGTATCTGCTGACCGTCGGTGGATGTAAACAAAAGATAACAAAGCTTTATGGTTCTGTGAATTAACTTTTATATAATTAATTTATCAACCGTTGATAGGCAAACTCTTTTTTCCACAGATGATTTTAATGTATTATTTTCCTTTTGTTAATAATTTTATTAACAGTATCTGACACACCGCAAGCACTTACTGTTTTATTACTGTACTCTCCACAGTACTATTTAAGTCACACAGCTTAAAATAAATAAAACCATTGTACATTTCTCGTCTTTCTCCAATACGAATTATTGATAAACTTTTATTACGAAAAGACTAGATATCCATTTTTAAAATGTAATGCTCAAAGAACGCAATCGTAGCGTACGAAAGTCTGGGTGTATGGTTAAAAATTCAATTCAAGATCTATTTACAAAAGGTAAATTCTCGAGTCCTCGATCTGGTATTTGAGTAGTAAAATTAAGTATTCATTCCTTCCCATTTCTTAAAAACTTACAGGTTAGATCTTTGACTCACAATATTTAGTTGTAGATTTTTTAACAACTACCCAGCATGCAATACACTTAGCCTTAGTTGTGTAAGTGCGTGTTTGTGTGTGTGCGTATCATCAACTTTCTACCCTTTCCTCAAATTTATTTGGGGTCGGTGGTTGTGGGGTCAAATGTGAAAAGATTTTGGCTTTTTCTTTTATGCATTTATATTATTACATATCGCATATTAATACACAGATTTCAATTGTATAGAACTTGCACAGCTGTGGTGCCTTGCTTTGTAAAAAAACAAGTGTTTTTTTTTAAAGACCACTTTTGCCATGAATATGTCACATTACACACAAATACTTACGAAACCGACACAGAGAACACCCAGACTTAGAACAATAATTTGTAGATCACAAAAAGTGTCGCCCATGTGGGGAACGAACACACAAAGTGTAGTAGGAAGCGGTGAGACGACCGCTTTAATTGCTACGCCATCCGAGCAGTCAAATCATTATTATTGATAAGTATTTATCTCGTTCGGTTCTATGTATTCTTCTAATGCATAACATTTGATGACATTAAATCTTACCCATATTAATTTTCAATTCTTACCCAAAGTGACTAGCTAATGCTTTTTAGATATGTGATGTAAGCTCTTATTAAGTTTCATTAAATCAGTAGTCTAACAAATAACTTTTTTGTTTATTTTAACGTTTCAGCTTAATTAATATTATTTTAACGGGAATTAACGCGATCTCTTATTTAGGGTATTACATACCTCTGGTTTGCCTGACGTTTCGACCAGGTTGCACCGGCCTTGGTCACAGGCTGACTCAGCCTGTGACCCTAAATAAGAGATCGCGTTAATTCCCGTTAAAATAATATTAATTATCATGGAACGCGAAAGTTTAAAAGTTAGTTTCAGCTTAATTTTGTAAATAATGACTGAATAAAACTCGCATGTTAATGAAGTTATGTTTTTGAATATGTCTAGGAATATGTACAAAAACCGTACCTGTATAATAAATTTTCAGTGATAGACAACGAACATTAAGAATATAAAGTACAGGATCAAACCAAGGCAATTAGGTAAATTATAAAAAGGTGCGTCACGTTTCATTTGTTGAACATTCTGGAATTGTCTGTTTTTTAATTGCTTAGGCAAACGTTATTACGTTGGTACGTTACCTTAACATGTCCTTGCATGTAGCTACCATTAATAAATAAAAATTTAGTGGTCTACTCATTAGTAGACAAAGACCACAAAAAATATTTATGGTACCTGGTATAGAATAAAAATGTACTGCATACTATTGACATCTACTACATTTTAATTTTTACGTGTCCCATATATTGACACACGCATTTTAATTAATTATAGAACTTGCACAGGGGTAGGGTCTTGCTTGGTAAAGTATCAAGATACGGTCAAACAAAATGCAGAAAACATAACAAGGGTGACAGCCGTCAAACATAAGTAAAATATAACATAAATTCATAAGATGCAACGGCATAAGAAAGATTTTGTCCGTGTGGTGACGGATTAAGAATACAAATTGTCACCACCCCAATTCATCCCGTGGGTGTCGTAAGAGCCGACTAAGGGAGCAAACTAAGCAGGACAACAGCACTGCAAAGAGAAGTAAAACTTGAAACAAACCCTGTACCAACCCGTCTGGCCAGCGTGGTATAGTAGGCCAAAACCTCCTTTCTAAGGAGAGGCCTATGTCCAGCAGTGGACTAGTATAGGCTGTTGATGATGATGATGAAGAAAGATTTATCTAATAAGTATAAGAACCCATTATGGTTGCACACGATTACTGTTTTTTTTTATAATAAATTAAACCGAACCACATACATTCCTTTACATATTTGGTATAATTTACTTATATTGATATATATTATATATATTTATTTGCTATATTCGTTGCTACATAGTATATATACAGGTCAAAATGTATATTCATATACAATATGTATAAACATACATTCATACAAACACCAGAATACACCGTCTAGCGTTGTGACCATTCTGCTTTCAACTCATTGTGAAGAAGATCATGTAATTTTTAGCAAAATGTAAGGCGGTTTATGGACATGCTAATTTCAAGTATTTCAGAGAAGAACTGACTGTAAGGAAGAATTGACAAAATCGGAAGTGTGAGGATAGGAAAAGTGGAAGTGAGGAGCTAGGTAATCAGGTAAGGATTGCGAGCTGAAAAAGAAAAGTCAGTGCTCGCAATCCGCGGTGCTCACAAATTCGGAGCCATATAGAGCAGACACGTGGTCACATTCGAAAAGGTTGAAAACTATTTGAAATCAAAGGGTCACACATCACCATAGTCACTTAAGAAAGTGATTAAGGGTGTCCATAAGCGAAGCCTTAGTTTCATTGGGAAAAAATCTTTATCGATCAATTTTTAAGTTCAATTTTACGGTTTCAAAATAAAGTATCTTTATTCATTTATTAGCATGAATTATTAACTTACTAACGTTAGTAGAATTGTTAGCGATTTACGTCATGCATTGAGTGAGCAAACATATGTGAACCTTTAACCTTTCCTTAGCTATTCACACGGTCATAACAAATAAACCCAAACATCTATCTTGCGGTATACGAAGCAATGTACAGAACAGTAGACTCCTTTATTGGCGCTAATAACATTCTTGGTAAGATATTGGTTTAATTAACAAACCTGGCAAAACATCTTGTTCACGTCAATGAAAATGGGTTCTATTTTGACCTCGCCTGTGGGATATAGACAACTATTTCTAGTCATACGACGGTCGAAATGTCTTGTTACTTTAGTTCGGTACCATTACCTTCAGAAATTTAACTCTATTACGTTAGTAATTTAGGTTAGTTAACAGGCTATAGAACTTCTATAGCCTGTTAACTAACCAATATTTTTTTAATTAATTTCCTAACATTTTTCAAAAACCATATTGTGATCTTACAGTTATTCATTTCTAGTCAGACCAGTATTTCATTGACATTGCATAAGGTTCACCGCTAATCTATTTAAATAAAAATAAAGCGCTAAATGTGTTAATTGCGCAAAACTCGTAAACGGCTTGACCAGTTTTTTTTTTTGTTTAATATTTTCGTTAAGGCACAAGGAAGATTCTTATGAAGGTATGAAACGTAAAAGTTGAGAGAAAAATAGTAAAAAATCACTTTTCTTTTCACATACAAACCACGTCAATCAAAACAAAACAAAGGCACGTTAGGATTTTTTTTGTATTGGACTGCAACAGGCCAATAATTTTGGTAAGACCGAAGTCTGTCAGAGCAGCTGGTAACAAATGGACATGAAATACTGGACGTTTTATAAAGCCTAAGTTACTTCAGCATAATTAATACACCCGTGCCGTGCATAATCCGGCACACACGGATACTTTCTAATATAAATATCGTGTAAGCATTCAAATGAATTTGGGCAAATAACTGATATTCTAACATTATTACTACAAAACACTTTAATACAATACATATGTAATACAAGATAGTAATCCTATAAGAAATAAACGAAAATAAGTGAAAACTCAGAAAATCTACCACAAGCCATAAGTTTATTACTAGTTCCAAAATACTCTATCTAATTGTTATTCACACATTAAGTAGGACTATTGAGAATGAAAAGAGGGTGTAGCGAAACATCGCCCACACATTAATATGTATGCGAATGCGTGAGTGTTCGCCCGGCGAAGTAATTGTTAATAATGGGGTAGATTGTTTTATTATATATATATTTTTATTAAAACTAGTTTAACTAATAAATATGGGCATACTAAACAGTTAATGTTTACTTTGCCCTTTCATACCAAGGCGCAGAGCCTTTACCTATTGATCGTTTACCCAATATTATAACAATAATGTATAATAATTTTGAATACTGGCCTCATTACATACC